TTTTTTAAGCATTTTACGCACACTACTAATAATGTCTATGCTTTTTTTTAGCCAATTGTCAGGAACCTGTGTAGGCGATATTCTTCATCTCTGCGATTGACACAAAATCACAATTTATGTAGGAGTTTCCTTTCTGCAAACTTCGACAAACACTTCGTACTGCTGCTAAAGTACTTTCATTAATAATAAGTTATCCTTTATAAATATGTCCTGATGACAGGTGTACCTATATGCGAGAGTTGTCACTGTAGACGACTCACATTTACAAAAGTTTTTCCCCTTTGTGGGAACTATCCGGGGTCAACCAGCGTAAGGCACTGTTTTCCCTCTATAACCTTACCAACTTTATAGATCAGTATCTTACTTCTACTCTTAGTAATTAAATCTGCATGAATATGATCATAATTTACCTTACCCCATACTCTGGCAATACAGGTACAGATCCAAATTGTTCGATAACGTTTGAAAATTAAAAATATTAACAAGTAACTTAAAAAGGACAAAGACAGTGGGAAAACGAGCGTTACGCCGACAACGGGACATAATTCTTAGAAATGTAAAAAAAATCGTCTATTTATATTAATTATGCAATGACAAACTATTAGTCTATTACGCTTCCTTCTACTAAGTAAATCTAAAAAAAAAAAATCTTCTCAATCTTTTTTAACACTAGTAAAATGTAGCAGTGCCTAAATGGACTTGTTTTTCTCCATGTGACTTTCTCCGAAGGAGACTTCAACTGCGCAATACGATCGCTGTGCCTAAACACTGCATATATGCTGCATGAACAAATATACGCAAGGTAGTAATTATTCAGCTAAATCCTTTACTCTTCAAACCTTACAGAATGAAAACAACAATCAGCAATGAACACTTTTGTTTCAGATCAAAATTCGGTTACTTCTTCACCGTCCACATCAAAAATGGCTGAAGGAGTGAGCCTCGTTTTCATTTATTATGTACACCGCGCCCGATCGAAAAAAAAAATAAACAAAGGTAAACCTAATCCGTTATCATTTCGTACGGGCACAAACTAGACAAAATTGAATGCGCACTAAATAAGGTTGCTTGCATATTAATGTAACTAATCATGGCTCTGTTGCTTATGAGATCTAGAGAAGAAGATTTTTAAATTTTAAAGGTTTTCTGATGTATTCTTATTTAAAATTTACTCATCCATTACGGACCAACCCTTACCCCAGGGGTCATGATTTGAACAAACTTGAATCTACACCACCTGAGGATACTTCACTATGAGTCTAATCTTTCCTGGCCCAGTGGTTCTTGAGAAGAAGATTTTTAAAATACATCATTACTTTTTCACAAATTCCTAATTATCTCCCTTTGAAAGGGAGCATGACCCCTCATTTGAACAAACCTGAATCCCCTTCACCTAAGGATGCTTTATTGCAAGTTTGGTTGAAATTGGCCCAGTGGTTCTTGAGAAGAAGATGAAAATGTGAAAAGTTTACGACGACGACGACAACAACAACGACAACAACGACAACAACGACGACGACGACAGACAACGGACAGATTGTGATCAGAAAAGCTCACTTGAGCCTTTGGCTCAGGTGAGCTAAAAATGTACAAAAATTATAAAACATGAATTCCAGATTTTTTTCCATCAAAAATTGTTTAAGAAGAGGTGTACAAATCCATATATAGACATTAAAAATATTGCACACAGGCCCTTCATTTAGTGGAACTCTTCAACTCCAAGGCAGAATCCAAAAAAGTTAAAACTACGTTGCGTATGACCTTAACATGAAAGTCAAGAAATTTTACTGAAATTCTAAAGGACATTATGTACTCCTTTAATTAATATACTATTATATGAACCTTTCTCCTTCCACAGAAGCCAATTTGGATATAAAAGCATAAAGTGTACACTTAAACTTGTTTTATTTTCTTCCTTGCATGGTCATTTCAACATAAAAGTATTTGTACATACATTTTAAAAATTTGTATTATGACAAGGGATAATTTTCACTGAGTGATTAACAAATTCTTCAAAATTCTAAACAAAATATGATAAATCTTCTACAATTGTTTCTATTAAAGAGCTTAACATTAATGGACTGAAGAAAATAATGCATTCCTTTTGAAAATAAAATAACCTAACAAAACCTGCTTCAGCTGTGTATTGTATATGAATATCCATCCACTGATCTCCAAGTAGACATGATTGAAGAATTGTGGTTCTATGAACTATCATTTGGCAAAGAAAAATTCTGTACATTTTAGTTTTAAAATTTGGTCATTTTTTGTATAATTTTATAAGGAGCTCTCCTTCTAAAGGAGATCAATATAGTCTAAAAATCGCCACAACCACCAGCCATATATAAATTTCCTTCTTATGAATTCTGGCATGTGGTAATTTGAAGAAACCAGAAGTCTCTGTCGAGACTGAAGCTCTACTGGTTTGAACTTATAGCAAAGGAAGAGAAAGTACTTAAGCAGCTGGGATTTGAAACTTTATAAACAGCATTAAATAGAATAATGATCGTTGATAAAGTCTCTTTATGTTCTTAGTGTAGTCTACTTGTGTGCCAAGTTATACTGAAATCAGACCAAAACTGTAGGAGGAGTAGCATTTTGAAACAATTTTACAGTCATTTCTATTTTTAGTAACCACGACAACACCGTTCATCAAAATTAAAATTCGATAAACAGAATTTTGTATCTTAGTGTATTCTACTTGTGTGCCAAGTTATATTGAAAACAGACCAAAACTGTAGGAGGAGTAGCATTTTGAAACAATTTTACAGAAATTTCTATTTTTAGTAACCATCGCAACATCGTTCATCGAAATCAAAAACTGATACACAGAATTATGTATTTTGGTGTAGTCTACATGTGTGCCAAGTAATACTAAATCAGACCAAAACTGTAGGAGGAGTAGCATTTTGAAAGAAATTTCTATTTTTAGTAACCACGGGAACACCGTTCATCAAAATCAAAAACCAATATACAGAATTATGTATCTTAGTGTATTCTACTTGTTTGCCAACTTATACTGAAATCAGATCAAAACTGTAGGAGGAGTAGCATTTTGAAAGAATTTCACAGAAATTTCTATTTTTAGTAACCACGGCAACACCGTTCAACGAAATCAAAAACCGATATACAGAATTATGTATCTTAGTGTATTCTACTTGTGTGCCAAGTTATACTGAAATCAGACCAAAACTGTAGGAGGAGTAGCATTTTGAAACAATTTCACAGAAATTTCTATTTTTAGTAACCACTGCAACACCGTTCATCGAAATCAAAAACCAATATACAGAATTATGTATCTTAGTGTATTCTACTTGTGTGCCAAGTTATACTGAAATCAGACCAAAACTGTAGGAGGAGTAGCATTTTGAAACAATTTTACAGAAATTTCTATTTTTAGTAACCACGGCAACATCGTTCATCGAAATCAAAAACCGATACACAGAATTATGTATCTTAGTGTAGTCTACATGTGTGCCAAGTTATACTGAAATCAGACCAAAACTGTACGAGAAGTAGCATTTTGAAAGAATTTCACAGAAATTTCTATTTTTAGTAACCACGGCAACACCGTTCATCGAAATCAAAAACCAATATACAGAATTATGTATCTTAGTATATTCTACTTGTTTGTTAACTTATACTGAAATCAGACCAAAACTGTAGGAGGAGTAGCATTTTGAAAGAATTTCACAGAAATTTCTATTTTTAGTAACCACGGCAACACCGTTCATCGAAATCAAAAACCGATACACAGAATTATGTATCTTAGTGTAGTCTACTTGTGTGCCAAGTTATACTGAAATCAGACCAAAATTGTAGGAGGAGTAGCATTTTGAAATAATTTCACAGAAATTTCTATTTTTAGTAACCACGGCAACACCGTTCATCGAAATCAAAAACCGATACACAGAATTATGTATCTTAGTGTAGTCTACTTGTGTGCCAAGTTATACTGAAATCAGACCAAAACTGTAGGAGGAGTAGCATTTGAAACAATTTTACAGAAATTTCTATTTTTAGTAACCACGGCAACACCGTTCATCGAAATCAAAAACCGATATACAGAATTATGTATCTTAGTGTATTCTACTTGTGTGCCAAGTTATACTGAAATCAGACCAAAACTGTAGGAGGAGTAGCATTTTGAAACAATTTCACAGAAATTTCTATTTTTAGTAACCACTGCAACACCGTTCATCGAAATCAAAAACCAATATACAGAATTATGTATCTTAGTGTATTCTACTTGTGTGCCAAGTTATACTGAAATCAGACCAAAACTGTAGGAGGAGTAGCATTTTGAAACAATTTTACAGAAATTTCTATTTTTAGTAACCACGGCAACATCGTTCATCGAAATCAAAAACCGATATACAGAATTATGTATCTTAGTGTAGTCTACATGTGTGCCAAGTTATACTGAAATCAGACCAAAACTGTAGGAGGAGTAGCATTTTGAAAGAATTTCACAGAAATTTCTATTTTTAGTAACCACGGCAACACCGTTCATCGAAATCAAAAACCAATATACAGAATTATGTATCTTAGTATATTCTACTTGTTTGTTAACTTATACTGAAATCAGACCAAAACTGTAGGAGGAGTAGCATTTTGAAAGAATTTCACAGAAATTTCTATTTTTAGTAACCACGGCAACACCGTTCATCGAAATCAAAAACCGATACACAGAATTATGTATCTTAGTGTAGTCTACTTGTGTGCCAAGTTATACTGAAATCAGACCAAAATTGTAGGAGGAGTAGCATTTTGAAATAATTTCACAGAAATTTCTATTTTTAGTAACCACGGCAACACCGTTCATCGAAATCAAAAACCGATACACAGAATTATGTATCTTAGTGTAGTCTACTTGTGTGCCAAGTTATACTGAAATCAGACCAAAACTGTAGGAGGAGTAGCATTTGAAACAATTTTACAGAAATTTCTATTTTTAGTAACCACGGCAACACCGTTCATTGAAATCAAAAACCGATACACAGAATTATGTATCTTAGTGTAGTCTACTTGTGTGCCAAGTTATACTGAAATCAGACCAAAACTGTAGGAGGAGTAGCATTTTGAAAGAATATCACAGAAATTTCTATTTTTAGTAACCACGGCAACACCGTTCATCGAAATCAAAAACCGATACACAGAATTATGTATCTTAGTGTAGTCTACTTGTGTGCCAAGTTATATTGAAATTAGACCAAAACTGTAGGAGGAGTAGCATTTTGAAAAATTGTTTACAGACAGACGGACAGACGGACAGACAGACAGACAGACGGACAGACGGACGGACGCCGGACGCATTACTATCGCATAAGCTCTTCTGGTCTCTGACCAGTAGAGCTAAAAAATGAATTGAATCTAAATGATCTAGGCCACACTAATGAAAATTTTTGTTCGTCGGACCCACGCGCTTATTTAAACAAAACCATACAAATAATATTAATTTCAATTTCTCGCACCATAGGAATTCTGTGCTATTTTCTGTTCCATTTCCGCTCTATTTATTGTATTTTATATCTGCTTACTCTGTAAATCAGAAAAAATATAATTGTCCGCTCAAATTTTTACGCTCCGCCTAAAAAATTGCCCAGCAAAGAGTAATAATATTATCATTTAACTGCTTGTACTTTTTTTAAATCAAATGTCCGACGAACAAGAAATTAAATTGGTGTGGCCCTACATAACTTTTTAAGCTTTGTGAAAAATGGTAACACTACATGATTGTATATATAAAAAGAATAAAATTACATGTATATGCATTAATATAAATTAATAGGCAAAATAATCCATCTTTAGATCTATGGTATTGTTGATATAATATTCAGACATAAAGTTCTTTAATTTTCTTTATGACTAATGCCTTCATTTTTTTACTTCCTTAATGTCAAATCAAATCCTTTAATGGTAGTGCTTTGGGTCATGTTGCTGTGAAGATACATCGGAAATATGCAGTTTTCTTCTTCTCCCTGTCGTTTGGAGTTTTAAGGTACCGAGATAATACCTGAAATTAGAAAACATCATTTCTGAGCATTTAAAGCAATGTAATCAAGCAAATTCAAATAATTGTGGTCCCTCGCTTTCGGTGTCTTAGTTTGTAAGGTGCTATTATATATAGCATATTGTGTTAGATATTAATTCCCTATCATATATTGTCAATTCCAAAGCAATATTTTGAATAAAGGTCAAATAAAAAGGTCAAGGATTATAATCATTCCAAGGTCCGAAACATCTCGATCTTGTCTCACAAAAGGGACATCAAAAATGAAAACCAAAATCAAAAGTTACAATGAAAACAAGAGGCCCATGGGCCCACATCGCTCACCTGAGCACATGGGCTAGTTAAAAAAACACAAGTCAGCTCAGTATTGAAGTTTACTTGTTGGGGGGGGGATGAAATTTTTTAATACTTGAGAACTCGCTTGATTAAAATTATATGTTATACATGTACTGCTGAAAATTCACTTCAAGTGAGTTTTTTAACTGTAGATATAACTAAAAATGGTTGGGAGGTGGATAAAATATACACTATTTTATACGGAATAAGTCCAGAATTAGGAATGGAAAGGTAGTTGATTGACCAATGCTAGAAAATGGAAAAATTTTCCCCAAAAGTGCGCAAACAATGCCCCGTAAATTCCACCTTTTTTGCATTACGGGACCTGTAGCGTTAGAGTCAGACAAATTATAAAACCATAGTGCTACAGATCTGCAGCTAAATTTTGCCATACTTGAAAAGAAGATTTGTCCTACATATTACTTGATCTCCCATTGTGACCCCTCATTAACCCTCCCTAAACCCAAGAGATCATGTTATGAACAAACTTGAATTAACTCTGAGGATATTTCCATATTAATATCACAATCATAGCTTTGCTGATCTTGAGCAAAGGATTTAAAAAAAAAATTCCTATATATTTCTATATAAAAATTTGATCAGCCAGTGTGGCCCTGCCCTACCCCCGGGTGTCATGATTTGTACAAACTTGAATCTACACCACCTAAGGATGCTTCGACAAGAGTTTTATCTTTCCTGGCCCAGTGGATTTTTTAAGATTTTTCTTTATATTCTATGTAAACCTTTGACCAGCCATTGTGGCACCGCCCTACCCGGTGAGTCTTGTTTTCATTGTAACATTTGATTTTGGTTTTAATTTTTGATGTCCCTTTTGTGAGACAAGATCGAGATGTTTCGGACCTTGGAATGATTTTAATCCTTGACCTTTTTATTTGACCAGGGCTCAGACATTGTCTAGGAAAAAGCACAGATCAGGTCAAAACTGAAAAATTGAGAGGCGGGGGGGGGGGGGGGGGGGGGGGGGGCGCTTGGTTATGATTAGAACAAACTAAAATATACATTAAGGGGGTTGATTCCATATAAATATCACTAATCATGGCTTTGAAGTACTTGAGAAGAAGATTTAAAAAGATTTTCATATATATTCTTATGAAAGAGTTTCATCGGCCATTGTGGCCCCATCCTACCCCTGGGGGTCATGATTTGAACAAACTTGAATCTACACTACCTGAGGATGATTACACATGAGTTTCATCTTTCCTGGCCCTGTGTTTCTTGAGAAGAAGATTTTTAAAGATTTTTCCTATATACTCCAATGTAAAACTTTGATTGGCCATTGTGGCCCCACCCTACCCCTGGGGGTCATGATTTGAACAAATTTGAATCCACACTGCCTGAATATGATTCCGGGTGAGTTTCATCTTTCTTGGCCCAGTGGTTCTTGAGAAAAAGATTTTTAAAGATTTTTCTTATATACTCCTAGGAAAACTTTGATCAGCTATTGTGGCCCCATCCTACCCCGGGGGTCATGCTTTGAACAAACTTGAATCTACACTACCTGAAGATGATTACACATGAGTTTCATCTTTCCTGGCCCAGTAGTTCTTGAGAAGATTTTTAAAGATTTTTCCTATATACTCCTATGTAAAACTTTGATCGGCCATTGTGGTCTCACCCTACCCCTGGGGGGTCATGATTTGAACAAGCTTGAATCTACACTACCAGGGTCTGACAAATCCCATTGCCCGACGCCCGGGGCTAGTGAATTTTTAAGGGGGGGAGGCAAGTGAATTTTTTTAATAGGTACATGCACGTGGGCAAGTGACTTTAAAAAAAATCAATAAATATTTTTAAAAATGTTATAGGACAGGAGTCTGAAGTTCTTATCGTCAAAAAAAAAAAAAATCCGGAAAGAAATTTTCCTACCTTCAACTAAAATACACCATGATGGCAATATGTTTTGGGGGGACACACTTAAACTAATAGATCTGGGCTTGGCCTAAAAAATCTCGCAACAAATTCAGTATTCGGAGCGGTTTACTATTTATTCAAGTTAAGAAATCCAATCTGCTTGACGACTACAGGCCGTTTCTGGCCCTTTTTCCACTTTAACAGCTCATCCTGGACTCCATGCCACTAAACTGGAAGTAAATCTCGCAGTGTATATTTGACGTCTATGAACATGATCATGATGATGAAAGCTTGTTCAAATGAAATAAAATAAATAATTATTCAACATATTTTGATTCAGTTATTTTAAGCATATTTAAGAAAACTTAAAAAGTTATCAATTCTTTTTCTTACTTGTAAGACGATATGTACCAGGGACAGATAATTCTATTTTTACATGGTGCCAAATTTAAATCATTGAAAAGCCAAGTCAACAAAGAGCCAAACAGCTTGTCTTACCGACCTGATGAGGCATTATTTTGTTTTAAAAATATATTTTTTTTTAATTGATCACATATGGAAACATAATATTGTACATGAAGATTTACATACAATTTTTTTCTTTTCTTCAATTACGTAAAATATTCACTGCGGTGTTCACTTCCAGTTTAGTGGCATGGAGTCCACTCCATACTCCACTAATCAACCTCTTTCAAATGACACCAAGGTCAATGACTTTGTGACCTTGACTGTGACCTTAATGCTAAAAATAGCTTTTTCCAAACTTTGTTGCCACCGGGCGCATAGTGTTTCACAAACACATCTTGTTTTTTTTTATGGTCTACTTACCCTCTATACTAGTACTGTGTGTACATCTGTCCTCCACATTCAGCTTAAGTACAGGATCTTGGCTAGAAGTTGACAAAAATTCAGGATACCTGTAATTTAAAGAAATATCAGTAAGAATGTGCTGCAAATCACATATTCCATATAATATCAAATATGACACTATACCGGGGCAAAAAAAATATACATGACTGTACTCATGTTTCCTGTCACCTGACCTATCCTCCATTTTACTCTCCGAACCTCATAGTTTTTTTTTTCACGTTTTCATTTTTTTGCTATTTTCCCGAAATGTTTAAATCGGCCAACAATATTAAATGTTTTTTACAGATGAGTTTCAGAAGCGTTTTAATACAAAACTTGGGCAGACCTGTCAAAAAAATTATTGAACATACCAATGAGAAGTATGAAAGCCCTAACACCAACTGTGCAAAAGTTATAAGTTATAACTAAGGTTGAAGAGTGATATATTTTTGTAAAAGTGGTCAAACTTCAAGGTCAAGAGGTCAAATTTGGTGGTGGTGGTACCCAAAGAAAGGTCTTGTCACAAGAAATACAAGTGTACAGCAGTGAAATATGAAAGCCATAGCCCCACTCACTCCAAAGTTATGAGCAAGGTTAAAGTTTTTGAGGACAAACAGCCAGATGGACTACAGGGCAAAATCTATTTACCAATACGTCTTATTTCAACTATGGAAGAGTTTAAGATTTTAGTGCGCTCCTCTGTAAAAAAGTTGCAGAGTGTACAAATCTTTCAGGATTTCTGGGACAAACGTAACATAAACATGTAAACAATATGTTGGATGTCGATGAACAAATCCTAACAAAAATCAAATGAATCATTTTATTGTTGTGGACTTTATACATGTTATATGCATGAAGAGTAGAAAGGACAAAAATATCAATTTTTATCTATTGTTTATCATATGTATTTAATTATCATCTAAATATAATTCACATGCTTTGGAAATGTATTTTATTATTGGATGATAAATGAGATGGGAGTCCGAGAACATAACAAGGGATAAGCCTATAGCGCAACAAACATGAAGGTGAAAAAATTAAATCTCAATATGTTATGTCGCGACTACCAATGAGTACCTCGCAGTTATCTAACTTACCTCCGCTCTTTTGCGAGGGAGTCAAGAAAAGTCTAAATTTCTGGGGGCAAATGACATTGTTTACATTAGTGACAATCGAATGATTCGAACAATTTAATGCCAAAATCACGATGTTTTGCCAGATATATAATTCCAAATACACCTGTAGTAGATTGTCAAATAAGGAAAGTTAAGATTTTTCCTATATATTTCTATCTAAAAATATTTTTTTCTACACTATACAGGATGCTTCCACATAAGTTTCAGCTTTTCTGGCCCCGTGGTTCTCTGAGAAAAATTTTCAAAGATTTTTCTTATATATTTCTATCTAAAACTTTGATTCCCCATTGTGGCCCCGCCCTTCCCCCGGGGGTCATGATTTGAACAATTTTACGTTATACCAGGATGCTTCCACATAAGTTTCAATGAAAATTTAACTATATATGTAAAAGAGTCCGCTTGAAATTAACACATATCTTTAAAAATGTCCTATATATTTAAAAAAGGATTGGCTCCTCTGAACAAAAATGATAGCTTTAAGGCTGGAAGATTTTTTAATGACCCAACCCTATTTTTGCCTTTTCTTGATTATCTCCCCTTGCGAGGGGATATGTCCCTTCATTTTAACAATTTAAATTCCCCTTCACCCAAGGATGCTTTGTACCAAGTTTGGTCAAAATTGGCCCAGTGGTTCTTGAGAAGAAGTCGAAAATGTGAAAAGTTTACAGACGGACAGACAGACGGACAGACAGACAGACAGACAGACGGACGGACGGACGACGGACAAAATGTGATCAGAAAAGCTCACTTGAGCCTTCGGCTCAGGTGAGCTAAAAATGTGACAATTTAGGATTGGCTCCTCTCAAAAATGTATAAGGCTGGTTCAGCGATTGTCTAGCGAGGTATTCCACCAGGATTTTTTACTTATCTGTCCTTATAAATGCTACAATGATCGATCTTGCATTAATTGTATTGAATAGCACATTGCTCCCACCCAACAGATGATTCCTACCTCCTTCATGAAAGAGTTCAGCTAAGTTAAGTAATCGCGATATCAAGTATTGTATCAAAATTTTCCGAAATATTTCATCTAAAATTAAAGTATACTTTATGTAAATCTGTCAAATCTCTACAACTTATACATATCTCATGAAGATTGAAGTTTTTGGCCTGTAAAATATAATACACACGCGAAAAAGGGCAAATTGAGTCATTTTTTCACACTTTTTGTGTTGTAAAATTGGACAAATTTACTACATTTGTATTATCAAATTGAATCGGAAGAACACAATTACTTATATAATTATATAATTGATAATTTTAAATGTTATAAAAGGTTAGATTTATTCATCCTTAGAAGTATTTTAAAAAGACAATGCACCAGGATATGGATATAATAATTATAACCTCTTCACCATGCACGTTCTCATTTTGTTTACTGCTGATTAGAGTGATGTCCCTTTGGTGAATATAAAAGTTAAACCTGCTCGGCTTGAGAAATACGGCTTGAAAAATATAGTGATCTATCGATGATAATATTTACAATCGATTGTCGCCAATCTGGGCCTTTAAACGACGATTTTTCGATAGTCAGCGACTATCATAACAACACTACACACTTTTTAAAACAATGTTTTGAAATGTATGAGTGGGTCTTCACTCCACTTTTTTTTTTCAAGTTTATCCTCAAAGTTTGCATACAAAATGAAATATACTATTTTGATTTCCAAAATTATGGAGTAAAAACCCAATAAACCTTTTAAAAAATTATAATTTTATGATATAACTTTTGTATCTTTTCGAGAAAAACTTGAAGTCCACTGAGTCAATGGTCATATCACAAACATGATTTAAATGCCAATCCTCATCAGGACTTGTGTAGCATAGTGGTTAGCTTGCTAGTCTCAGTAGAGAATGCTACTCAGGATTTTTATTGCTAGGGTTCAATCTAATGGATACATGTACCACATTTTTATATCTGTGATAGTCAGTTGGTGAAAAAACTGCAACAAAAATTGCGTACAGATCTCGAGACACGTGGATATATAGGAAGTTGACATCGAATTTGCATAAAAATGAATCTCACTACCAGTATATAATATGCCTCGACAAAGAGTGTTAAAAAATTTCAAACTTCTTGCTACCATAGTAGTTGCTGAAAAAAAAAAACATAAAAATTTACACGCACAGATAAACAGGAAGTTGATGTGAGATTTCCTAAAAAAATAATGCCACCATTATCCCTCAATATGTAATGCCTATAGAAAGATAGACAGACATGCTAATTCCAATTTACTCCCCAAATTTGATTGAGAATGGGTTAAAATAATTGTATGTTGTTATTGAATATTCCTCACAGTTGACTTGTAGGTAATACTTATCATTGCTGACTTGTGGGGAATATTTCTCACTGTTAACTTGTAATACTTTTCATTGCTGACTTGTGGGGAATATTTCTCACTGCTGACTTGTGGGGAATATTTCTCACTGTTAACTTGTAATACTTTTCATTGCTGACTTGTGGGGAATATTTATCACTGCTGACTTGTGGGGAATATTTATCACTGTTAACTTGTAATACTTTTCATTGGTGACTTGTGGGGAATATTTATCACTGCTGACTTGTGGGGAATATTTCTCACGTAGGTTATATTTATCATTGCTGACTTGTGGGGAATATTTTTCACAGTTAACAATTTTAGGTAATATTTATCACTGCTGACTTGTGGGGAATATTTCTCACTGTTCACTTGTGAGGAATACACATGTATTGACCATTGCTTTACCCTTAAAACTTTGTTTCCATATAAATGTTGCCTTTGAACCCAACCAATAAATGTACACTTCAGTGTATATTGCTGACTTGTGGGAAACATTTATCACTTATTGGGAAATGCATTATTTTATTATACATGAACATTACAGATAAAAATTATTTTTCAACAAATAAAATAACTATCAAATCTTAAAAAAAATCAATCATCAGTATTAATAATTGTATTGAAACTACATGTATTACTAATCTAATGTTTACAAGTCTTTTAAATCAAAGCACATTAATTTTAAAAACATTTGTTTTCCTTCACTAGATTTAAAACAAATTGCAAATTTTAATTTTCTCAGGTAAAAAAAATGTTTTCAATTCAAAAATAATAAGTATGTTGAAAAGGATAACAAGAGGCCCACGGGCCTTATAGGTCACCTGAGCATTATGCAACAACTTTCCAGTTACAGTGTATTAAATTTGATTCAATAACATGTTTTGAGCCAGATGCTATATGGCATTCACAATTTTGAAAGAGCACCATTGATTATCATAACAATAAACTTAGCAGTCGCTTAGCTTGGTTACTGAATACCCATATGCAGGGTAGGGGAACAAAAAAGCACTCCAACTAATCAGTAATATTCATCAATAATCAGTAGTGCCCCTAACATTCTGACATGAACCCCTGACCCTAGGTTGCACAAATTTTTAAAAGGCACCCTTAAAATTGCCTATCAAAAAGTAAATAAATGTTTTATAAATACAAAGGACCAGATTTCAAACAATTAATTCATTTCCAGTATATAAGTAGAGCCCCCCCCCCCTGACCCTGGGGCCTTGAAATTCACAATTCTTCAAGATTAGGGCCCTTGCTCATCATAACTATATAGGTAGTTCATCTGCTTCATACCCAGAGACAGAGAAGAAAATTTTCAAAGATTTAATGTATTTTCACTATATAATCAATAGAGCCCCACCCTAACACCAGAACCCCTGACCCTGGGGCTATAAAATTCACAATTTTTGTAGAGACACTCTTGCTCTTAGTTGGTTTATTTAATACCTAGGAGCAGAGAAGAAGATTTTCAAAGAATTCATGTAATTTCACTATATAATCAATATAATCAATAGAGCCCCCCCCCCTCCCCCCAACACCAGAACCCTTGATGATAGGGCCATTAAATTCACAATTTTGGTTGAGGAACACTTGCTTATCATAACTATGCACTTAGTTAGTTTATCTAATACCTAGGAGCAGAGAAGAAGATTTTCAAAGAATTAATGTAATTTTACTATATAATCAATGAGCCCCCCCCCCCCCCCCCCCCCCCACACCAGAACCCTTGACCCTGGGGCCATAAAATTTACAATCTTAGTTACGGAACACTTGCTTATCATCACCATGTAATTAGTTAGTTTATTTGATACCTAGGAGCAGAGAAGAAGATTTTCAAAGAGTTCATGTATTTTCACTTTATAAACAATAAAGTCCCCCCCCCCCACCAGAACCATTGATGCTGGGGCCATAAAATTAACAATTTTTGTAGAGGCAATCTTGCTCATCATAAATATGCACTTAGTTAGTTTATAGGAGCAGAGAAGAAGATTTTCAAAGAATTCATTGAAAATCTTCTTCTCTGCTCCTAGGTATTAGTTCACTATATAATCAGCCCCCCCCCCCCCCCCCCCCCCCCCCCCAACACCAGAACCCTTGACCCTGGGGCAATAAACTTCACCATCTTGGTTGTGTTATAATTTCTCATCATAACTATTTACTTAGTTATTTTATTTAATACCTAGGAGCAGAGAAGAAGATTTTCAAAGAATTCATGTATTTTCACTATATAATCAATAAAGCCCCCCCCCCCCCCAACACCAGAACCCTTGACCCTGGGGCCATAAAATTCACAATTTTGGTAGAGGCACTCTTGCTCATCATAACTATGTACTTACTTGGTTTATTTAATACCCAGGGGCAGAGAAGAAGATTTTCAAAGAAATCATGTATTTTTACTATATAATCAATAGAGCCCCACCCCAACACCAGAACCTCTGACCCTGGGGCCATAAAATTCACAATTTTGGTAGAGGCACTCTTGCTCATCATAACTATGCACTTAGTTAGTTTATTTAATACCTAGGAGCAGAGAAGAAGATTTTCAAAGAATTCATGTAATTTCACTATATAATCAATAAGCCCCCCCCCCCCCACCAGAACCCTTGACCCTGGGGCCATAAAATTCACAATTTTGGTAGAGGCACTCTTTCTCATCATAAATATGCACTTAGTTAGTTTATTTAATACCTAGGAGCAGAGAAGAAGATTTTCAAAGAATTAATGTAATTTTACTATATAATCAATGAGCCCCCCCCCCTCCCCCAACACCAGAACCCTTGACCCTGGGGCCATAAAATTCACAATTTTGGTAGAGGCACTCTTGCTCATCATAACTATTTACTTATTTGGTTTATTTAATACCCAGGGGCAGAGAAGAAGATTTTCAAAGAAATCATGTATTTTTACTATATAATCAATAGAGCCCCACCCTAACACCAGAACCTTTGACCCTGGGGCCATAAAATTCACAAATTTGGTAGAGGCACTCTTGCTCATCATAACTATGTACTTTGTTGGTTTATTTAATACCCAGGAGCAATGAAGAAGATTTTCAAAGAAATAATGCATTTTCACTATATACTTATTTAGCCCCGCCCTAGCACTAGAACCCCTGACCCCAGGGCCATGAATTTCACAATTTTGGTAGAGGACTCAATGCTGATTACAATCATGCAAATAGTTTGACTGCTTGATGTCCAGGAGTAAAGAAGAAGATTTTTAAAGATTGCATTAATTTTAGTGGTTTTTCCCACCCCTCAGGCCCCAGGGGGGCAGGGATCATGAAATTCACAATTTTTGTTCCCCTTCACCCATAGATGCTTTGTGCCAAATTTGGTTGAAATTGGTTCAGTGGTTGCAGAGAAGAAGCTGAAAATGTTCAAATGTTAACACACGACACACGACACACGTCACACGACACACGACGGACGACGACGGACGAAAACGGATAGCAATAGGTCACCTGAGTAACTCAGGTGACCTAAAAAGTCATAAAATCAGGAGACAGTATATATAAGTACTAATTTAATCATTGATGGATTTAATTGGCCAATGACTAATTATTATTAACCAAATTTTGATTATATTTTGTAAAATTTTCTGATTATTGTTACACAGTTAGCATGGTTAGCACACATGTATATTTTCTGACAACTTCTCAGCATGTTCATGAGGCTTTTAACCTACTTTGAAATCATGAACAAGGACCAAATTTTTTTTTTATTTTAGATATACCGGTTTATATACTTCTATGTACATGTATTAGGCTTCATAACATACATGATATCAGCATGCTTTTTTTTTTTATTATTTCTGTTTTTAGAGCAACGGAAGTACTGTAAACCAACTTTTATTTGAGTGCAAGAAATATTTGCCAGTTTCATGACCTACATTTACTAGTGAATAGTAAATTATTAATTGCCCTGAACTATTAATTTTGCTTTATATTTGTAGAGAATGTTTCCTTTCATTAGTCACGGAAATTAATCAACACAGATTAGATATGCAAATAAAAGATGACACAAATAGGGTACATGTGTACTACCTGGTAGTTGGTTTACAGTACTGCTCACATATAGAGTTCAAAATGAGATTTTACAGCTATCTTGACTTACCAATACTAAATCCTTCTGTTTCCATACACAAATCCAGACAAAATGCTTTCAGTTATAATACTCTAGTTCTTTACATCCTTCATGTCCATGCAAGCGTGTCTGTTGACTTTGACTCCAAGTCTCAGTCTCTAACATTTTCAAGAATAAAGTTGTATAATTTGCTCTTGTGGTGAAAACCCTCGAAAACCTGCAATGATAATTTTGCTTTCAGTTCAAAGATTTCATTGTATATTTTTTTTAAAGTGCTCATATCTTTACCTATAATTACAAGACAGGTATATCTCCACATCACTCAATAGTAATTTTTGACCCCATGCGGCATGCCAAAATTAAGACTTAATGTATGCCCTTTCCTGAACCATATTGTTAACAGTGGGTAGGTAGGTATGAAAAATATTTTACTTTTTTCCTTCTTGTGACATGGCCCAGAGATTCTCTGGGCCATGTCACAAGAAGGAAAAAAGTAAAATATTTTTCATACCTACCTACCCACTGTTAACAATATGGTTCAGGAAAGGGCATACATTAAGTCTTAATTTTGGCATGCCGCATGGGGTCAAAAATTACTATCAGAGCTTTCCCTTTTAAATCAACCGTACAATAACTGCGAAACAGAACACTTTCTCGTAGATGTTTGATGAGCAGAAACTGTTTTATATGCAAAAAATCTACGATACAGTACAACTTATTTTTAGGAATGACAGAAAACTGAATCAATACCTTAAATGATAGTCATTGAAATTGCATGATAGTGCTGTTAGTATTTATTTAAATTTAATTAAAATGAGAATAGAAATTTACAGCGTAAAGTTACCAGAGGCAGATTAAAAATTTTTAGAAAGGAGGAGTGGGTGCAGAAATCAAATGGTTTTCTTAAAAAAAAAAATAAAAGACCAAAATCAGGAAGCATTATCAGACCCAAAACTTTGAGGGCGATCGTTATATGTAAATAAATTTAAAAAGGTATAAATTCAGTTAAGCAAATATAAATAATTATGAATAATAGATATTGAATCTTAAAATCTCAACATTACCTTTCAATTTTATAACCAATTTTAAATTTTTAATATGCTCGCTATCATAAAAGCTGATCTAATTGTTATTACTATGTTTCTCCATTTCCTCCAATTCGCATTATTTTGTATACCACGCCCAATCATAATTCAATAGTAATTGAGGTTTTGAAAAGGATTTTTAGTTATTTTTTACATATGATTTTGTTTCTTATTTATTCCATCAGCATCTAAACCCCAAGGCCAAGGTTTGAATTGTAACAAATTTTAAAAATAAAAGGTGATCTTTAATTAACAATAAGTATTTAATTAAAATGAATTTATTAGACATTTTAATTGGGCCTAAATAAATAAGTAGTGTGTTTTCAGCATGTTTAGTTCCCCGCCTAACTCTAAGAAGTATAGGAGCCGACCCTCAATATTTTTTCTGCTAATATCTTTCCATGAGTAAACTACTGTACGTATACTTTAAAATGCAGGCTTCATATTTTAGCGGCTTTGGTGCAGACAACAATGCACTAATTCATGAATACTGCTAAGAAATCATTTACATATTGATATATACAATACACCGCACATACATGTGTAGCGCTAATTTATGATTATGCCAATTAACCCAGTGATTATGCTAAATTTTGAAAGCACCAAATTATATACACATATTACAGTATTCGGAATTCCAGTTTACAATTAGAAATGAAATCCCAATCTTGATCACTTCCATGTTTGAGAAATGCATATCTTACACATATTAATCAGAAATATTTTGACAGTGAAATCCTGGGGGAAAGTGGCAGCGTGCCTGCCAATGTTAAAATAAAATAAAAATGTTTTTCCTACCTACCTACCCTATATTTTCTAAGGTTAAAATAGGAAACACTATCTATTTATCTTGGCCTTAGCAAAATAAAAAAAAATACTTATGATACATCGATAATGATGGTCTAAAATCATGAAAATTTTTTCAGTAGGGCAATCAGGATGAATGTAGAACAGGGTGCAGGTGAAAGATAATGAAGGCAAATGGACACTATGCAAACCAACGCATGCGAAGAAATATATACAAGTAGGAAGAATGACTTGATAAAAAAACGATAACTAAATCAAGCTTTTTTTTGGAAGAATTAAACATGTTAAATAATCTAACCAAGCTAAGAAATTTTAGCTACGTAAATCTATAAATGTACTGATTTCAATGGACCTTTTGAAAAGGTGGAGTTCTCTGTGATACATTTCTGACACTGAGTCAGTGTGTGACTGACATCGTTTATAGATACACGTACAGTTTAAGTCAGATTAACTTTTACAATTAATTCGCCCACCAGGCCTCACTAAACAGCTAAAGACCAGACAGTCGCACCGTCTAGCATAATTTGTATGAGCATGAGGAGGATAGTCGCGTTTCACAAAAAATGGGGACAAGCCTTAAACGCTTACCATATCCCGGGGGTGCTGAATTCATATAAATCCGTAGTTTGTTCTTACAGGATAGCCATTAGGCCTATAAACATGATACAATTAAAAAAAAAAATAACCGAGGTCTAGGTCGGGTCAAACTTTCCCAAAGTTTTACGTGCATTCATTATTAAATGTTACTTTACGAACGTCTGTAAGAAATAACTGCATGCATGATTTACGTAGTTAAATTAAGTTTTCAGCCTATAATATCTTTAAAATATGATAAAAAATCTACTTACCACATTACCACATGTTCTCGGAGCAGCCATTGCCCGCAATAAATTGGTATCATATGGGGACCAGTTTAAATTCCGCTGCGTTCCGAATGAACATTTCCCAGCATCCTCAAACATTCGTTTTACGGTGCAGTGAGAAAATTACTACGAGTCAATTTTACGGACTTATGGGGATTTTTTCAAAAATGACCACAAATCGAATAAATATTATCAGTAGAACACGTAGAATTCAAAAAACCCCATGACCATATTTGTGGGGAACGAGAGAGTTCCCCACAATTCTGAACTTTCCCCATAAGAAAGGTCCTTTGTCAGGTGTGAGTTCCCCACAAGTCGGTGAGCGCGAGTGCTCTCTCTCTCCCCACTCCCTCTCACTCCCTCTCTCTCTCCCCACTCCCCCTCTCTCTCTCTCCTCCTTCCCCCCTCTCTCTCTCCCCACTCCCTCTCTCTCTCATCTCACTCCCCCTCTCTTTCTCTCTCCTCCGCTCTCTCTCTCTCCTCACTCCCCCTCTCTCTCTCCTTTCCCTCTCTCTCTCCCCACTCCCTCTCACTCCCTCTCTCTCTCCCCACTCCCCCTCTCTCTCTCCTCATTCCCCCCTCTCTCTCTCTCCCCACTCCCTCTCTCTCTCATCTCATTCCCCCTCTCTCTCTCTCCTCAATCTCCCTCTCTCTCTCACCTCACTCCCTCTCTCTCTCTCCCCACTCCCCGTCTCTCTCACCACTCCGTTTCTCTCTCTCCCCACTCCCTTTTCCCTCCCCTTCTCTCTCCCCACTCTCTCTCTCTCACCTCACTCCCCCTCTATCTCTCTCTCTCTCTCTCCTAACTCCCCCCCTCTCTCTCTCTCTCTCTCCCACTCCCCCTCTCTCTCCTCACTCCCCCTCTCTCTCTCTCCTCCCCTCTCTCTCTCACCTCACTCCCCCTCTCCCCCTCTCTCTCTCCTTTCCCTCTCTCTCTCCCCACTCCCTCTCTCTCCCCACTCCTCTCTCTCTCTCTTCACTCCCTCTCTTCTCACTCCCTCTCTATTTCTCCCCACTCCCCCTCTCTCTCCCCACTCCCTCTCTCTTTCTCTCCCCTCTCTCTCTCCACACCCTCTCTGCTCTCTCCCCACTCTCTCTCCCTCACTCTCACTCCCTCTCTCTCTCCCCACTCCCCCACTCCCTCTCTCTCCTCACCTCACTCCCCCTCTCTCTCTCCCCTTTCCCTCTCTCTCTCCCCACTCCCTCTCTCTCTCCTCTCACTCCCCCTTTCTCCTCACTCCCCCTCTCTCTCTCCCCCCTCTCTCTCTCTCACCTCACTCCCCTCTCTCTCTCTCCTTTCCCTCTCTCTCTCCCCACTCCCTCTCACTCCCTCTCTCTCTCCCCACTCCCTCTCTCTCTCTCCACACTCCCTCTCTCTCTCCACACCCACCGTCTCTCTCTCTCCCCACTCCCTCTCTCTCTCATCTCACTCCCCCTCTCTCTCTCTCCTCAATCCCCCCTCTCTCTCTCACCTCACTCCCTCTCTCTCTCTCCCCACTCCCTCTCTCTCTCCCCACGATCTCTCTCTCCTCTCACTCTCTCCCCACTCCCTCTCTCTCTTTTTTCCCCACTCCCTCTCCCCCTCCTTCTCCCCACTCTCACTCTCCCCCTACTCCCCCTCTCTCTCTCTCTCTCTCTCTCTCTCTCTCTCCTCACTCTCTCTCTCTCACCTCTCTCCCACCCTCACTCGCTTTCTCACACTCCCACCCTCTCTCTCCCCACTCTCATTCTCTCTCCCCCACTCTCATTCTCTCTCTCTCTCTCTCTCTCTCCCACTCTCCCTCTCTCTCTCCACTCCTCTCTCTCTCTCCTCTCTCTCCTCTCTCCCTCTCTCCCCACTCCCCCTCTCTCTCTCCTCATTCCCCCCTCTCTCTCTCTCTCCCCACTCCCTCTCTCTCTCTCAACTCACTCCCCCTCTCTCTCTCTCTCCTCACTCCCCCCTCTCTCTCTCTCTCTCTCCTCTCTCCCCCCACTCTCTCTCCCCACTCCCTCTCTTTCTCACCTCACTCCCTCTCTCTCTCTCTCCCCACTCCCCCTCTCTCACCACTCCCTTTCTCTCTCTCCCTACTCCCTCTCTCTCTCTCTCCCTTCTCTCTCTCTCCCCACTCCCTCTCTCTCTCACCTCACTCTCTCTCTCTCTCTCTCTCTCTCTCTCTCTCTCTCTCTCTCTCTCTCTCCCTCTCTCTCTCCCTCTCTCTCTCCCCACTCCCCAACTCTCTCTCCCCACGCCCTCTCTCTCCTCACTCCCCCCTCTCTCTCCCTCTCTTCCCTCTCTCTCTCCCCACTCCCTTTCACTCCCTCTCTCTCTCCTCTCCCCCTCTCTCTCTCTCTCCTTCTCTCTCTTTCACTCCCTCTCTCTCTCTCCTCATTCCCTCTCTCTCTCTTCCCACTCACTTTCTCTCTCTGACCTCCCTCCTCTCTCTCTCTCTCTCTCCCACTCCCCCTCTCTCTCCCCACTCCGTCTCTCTTTCTCCCCACTCCCTCTCTCTCTCTCCCCTTCTCTCTCTCTCTCCCCACTCCCTCTCTCTCTCTCCTCACTCCCTCTCTCTCTCCCCACTCTTCTCTCTCTCTCTCACCTCTCTCTCTCTCTCTCTCTCCCCACTCTCTCTTTCTCCCCACTCACTCTCTCTCTCTCTCCCCACTCTCTCTCTCTCCATACTCTCTTCCCACTGTCTCCCCATGCTCACCCTCTCCCAACTTTCTCTCTACCCACTTCCTCTCTCTCTCTCCCACTCCCTTTCTCTCTCTCTCTCTCTCCCTCTCTCTCTCTGACCCTTCTCTCTCTCTCTCTCTCTTTCTCTCTCTCTCTCTCTCTCCTCTCTCTCTTTCTCTCCTCTCTCTCTCCTTTCTCTCTCTCCCCCTCTCTCTCACCCACTCTCTCTTTCTCTCTCTCTTCCCTCTCTCCTTTCTCTCTCACCTCTCTCCTCCCTCCTCTCTCTCTCTCCCCACTCCCTCTCTCTCTCTCTTCACTTCCCTCTCTTTCTCTCTCACTCCCCTTCTCTCTCTCTCTCCCCACTCCCTCTCTCTCATCTCACTCCCCCTCTCTCTCACCTCACTCCCCCTCTCTCTCTCCCCACTCCCACTCTCTCTCACCTCACTATCTCTCTCTCACCTCACTCCCCCTCTCTCTCTCCCCTTTCCCTCTCTCTCTCCCCACTCCCTCTCACTCCCTCTCTCTCTCCCCACTCCCCCTCTCTCTCCCATCTCTCTATCACTCTCTCTATTTCTCTCTGTCAACTCACTCTCTCTCTGCCCACTTTAACTCTCCACTCTCACTCCCTCTCTCTCTCTCCCCCCACTCCCTCTCTCTCCCCATTCTTTCTCCCAACCCCCCTCTCTCCACCTCCCTCTCTCCCCACTTCCTCCCTCACTCTCACAAATACAATATACATGTTACAATAAAAATAAATATAATAGAATGTTAAACTTATACTTTAAAACACAAGAGGACCACTGGGGCTTGAAAATACACTTCTTATTGCTGCTTTTGAATTAATATGATATATTATTGCTTAAGATGTTTTTTATTGACATATGCTTTATACTCCATTGAATAAATATAATCTCCTGTTAATGGCCACTCCGTTCTCCTGGGGGTCATTATTTGAAATTTAAATGTACCTAAAGATGTAAAATATCTATAATATCTTATCAAGAACAATCATGGCTTTCTTGCTCTTGTGATTAATTTCAATTAAAGAGATTTACTAATGTATTCCAATGCAATGACGAACCATTGTAGCCCCATATCCTACTCTCACAGGATCATGATTTGAATCTATCTGTGGATGCTTCCATATCAATACATTGAATTACAGCTTTGCTGTTCTTGAGAAGATTTTTAAAGATTTTTATATGTAATTCTATTTAAATCTTTGACCCCCCCAAGCAGTGTAGGCCCTACCCTTACCCCCTCCCCAGGGGTCATGATTTGAATGAATTTGAATCTACTCTATCTGATGAATATGCTTCCATATAAATATGACCAACCATGGATTTGCTGTTCTCTGGAAAAAGATATTAACAGGTGTTTCCTATGTATTAAAATGTTTAAATGTAAAACTTTGATCAACCATTATGTAACCCCACCCTACCCCTGGGGATAATAATTTGAAAAAGTAGAATGTACACAACAAAGATTCCAAAAAAGTTTTTAATTTTCAAGCAATGTGATTCGGAAAAGAGTATTTCTGATTGACACCACTAATTTTTAACAAAATCATAATTATTTCCCCTTGGAATAATGTGTAGCCCTTCATTTGAACATCCCTTTACACAAGGATACTTTGTGGAAAGTTTGGTTGAAATTGGCACGGGCCAGTGGTTCTTGAATAGAAGATGAAATGTGAAAAGTTTACAATGACAACGATAAAAGACAAGAGAGAAATTTTGATCAGAAAAGCTCAGCTAGATGAGCCTTCGGCTAAGATGTGCTGAAAAAATTACAAAAGTGTAGAATGATATGCCCAATAAAGAGAAAAATGAACATGACCAATGTAAGCTATTGAATTTCAGAGGATGATTTTTGAAAATTTAATTTCTATTAAATTATGCAAAAATTAAGTACCGGTAAATGTCAAAAGATAAAAAAATAATAAAAAGCAAATATTATGTCCCCCACTTTCAAACTGTCTTAGTGGGTGGGATGCCTTATTTATGGCAAATTGTACATGTATCAAATATGAATGCCCTATCATATGTTACATTAAAAAAAAATCTGACTTTTTGAAAATTAGGTCAAACACAAAGGTCAAGGGGTCAAAATCAATAAGCATGTTTGAAACATCTTGTCACCGGTGATCCATATGTGAGATATGAAAGCCTTATCTTCTCTCAATCAAAAGATATGAGAAAAGATACAATTTTCAAAAAGTATGTCAAACTTTAAGGTCACGATTACAGGATCAACAAGAGGCTCATGGGCCACAACACTCACCTAAGCACTGTAGCTTGGAAAAAAGCAGAAATCAGTTTATTATTGAAAAGTTTAAATGCTAAAGTGGTCCCAACCAATCCTTAAAGGGGAGAGGGTATGATTTGAACAAACTTAAATCTACATCAACTAAAGATGCCTGCATATTTCTTTGACTACCGGTTGCTTCTTTATTGCCCTTT